TGATAGTGCTGTCAAGAACCTGCAATTAAGCTGGTTGTCTTTCCAGCTACTTCATACCATCAATTATCTCCCTTGCTGGGCTAAGGGCGGGCTGTTCCAGTGCCGAGCATTTGCAAATAATGAGGTACAAGAAAACCTTTGGCATCAGCTGCTCTTGGAGACGGGATACCAGCAAGATTTCTGGTAACCAGTTTTGTTTTTCAACAGCCTTCTTGCGAAAGGTGGTGAAAAAGCCCTCCAAGGAGCCCAGCGGGAAGAAAAAAAAAAAGGAAAAAAAATCTCTGCAAAAGCAAGGAAAGAAAAGAGCAAGTGAAATGCTATCAGATTTCTTGGGAATTGGAAAGTGTTTAATTGCCAAAGACACTGACCAAGGTATGAGCCTGTTGAAAAAGTTAAGGATGAGTGCGGCTTAATAGCAGGGGAAAACCACTTCTTTCACATTGCCTGAAATGAAACCCTTCGCCCTTCTGTTTTGAAAGAGACTTTGGCAAGAAGCCACAAGGACGGAGATGTAAATCTTGGCTCCACCTCTGAGGTTTTGTGAGGCACTCAAAGAATATATGAAACCTATCAGCCTTTTCTTCCCTGTCTGTCAAGCAACTCTAATAAATCTTTTTTATTTGCCTTGAGGTATCCCAAGGGTTTTAATTACAAGCTCAGATATAAAGGATAGTAACAGAGCAGCTGTATTAATAAGGTATTTTTGCAGGATACTGGTTGCTGGTGCATTCATAGCCTGCCCACCGAGGCCAAGCCTACTGCTGTTTCCAATTAAATGATTAACGAGCATCCAGTTAACAGCCCCGTGGCTGAGCTTCCTGTGTTCGAGGCTATTTATTGTCTTCTCCATGCGCTCAATGTGCTCTACACAATCAGAGCCAAAAACTTAACGAGAAGATACAGCAGTGCTAATTTATTCTTCTAAAAGCTGGGCATCCATGTTTGAGCTGGTCACTTCAGACTCTCTTGGACTCAATGCAGAAGAGGAAGGCTCTCTGGAGAGCAACGTCTCAGGCATGCCTGTCTCTCAGCACAGACCTAGCATCCAAAGTTAGAGGAGACAGTTCCTGCCTAGTCAGCTATGGCCTTTAACTGAGGACAGTGTGGGCAGGGCTATATATAAAAAAGAATTATTTCGCACTCTTGTACCACAGCAAGGAAATTTGTGTGTCCAGTCCACGCGATGGTTCCCAGCTTCCACGCATGAGGCTGCCTTTGGCTGTGCCTCAAGGGCTCGTACTCTCCTTTGTGACAGGATGGACTACGAAAAGAACAGATACTGCAAAAATCACTTACAATTTGCTGTTCAACAGAACATTCCTTTACAGATTGTCCTTGGCAAAGGACGGTGCTCCTGAGGCCATTTGCTAAACTGTAATTAATGTAAGGAAACAAACCAAACCAAAAGAAAACTCGTCACAAAACCCAGCCCATGGGATCCCCCAAGCTGAGTATGCAAGCAAAGTGATTTAAAACCAGTAAAATTCCATAGCATTTCACACATGTTCAGCGTTATGCATTGTTTTGCATATTTAAACCTACAAATTGCTGCCAGGCAAGGCAAACCCCAAGAAAACCCCAAATTGTTCATCTGCATCAACCAAGCCCCACTTCTGAGATGTGTATAAAGGAGGAGCTCAGGGCTGTGGGAGCAAAGGGGCACCTTTTCGAGCTGCATGCTCGGCTGTCCTCCAGCATCCTCTCCTCCATCACGTCTGCCAGCATGAGCCAGCAGCTGTCAGCTGGAAGGTCTCTTCATGGAAGAAACTTCTTCTCAGCGTCTTCTGCTGCAGGTGGCATGAGCCGCTGCCAAAGCAGCTCTTTGCCCTCTGCTGCCCTATTTGGAAGAGGATATGGAGCCTGGAGCCACAGCAGCCGAAGCCTCCAAAACACAGATGGGTGTAAATGGATTTCTTCTGGCCAAAGCCTTGCACAGGGGGTCTGTGGAGGCTGGAGGTGCAGAGGCATCCATGCCAACAGTGAAGGTGGGAGCCATGGGTTAGACTTCCACCACGGGACCTGCAGAACTGAAGGTATTCATGCGGTGCACACCAGCAGGAGCCTGCTGCAGCCTCTTGATGTGAAGATCGACCCCGAAATCCAGCACATCCGAAAGCAGGAGAGCGAGCAGATGAAAAGCCTCAATAACCAGTTTGCCTCTTTGATTAACAAGGTGAGAGTCGAGGCCAGACTTAAAGGAATGATGAGGTTTAAGTGTGAAGGAAACCTTCCTGAGCTCAGGTCTATGATTCCTCTCTCTCACCCTGGTGCATGAGGCTTGTGCTGGTTTTAGCATGCACGGCTCTAGCTGCAAGTGAGATCAAGCTGATAGCGTTATTTTAATCTGCCTATTTATGTGCTTTAATAAGATGCATCTGGTTTTGTTATTAACAGCAGAAGGGAGCTGTTCCCCCAAGGTATCTTGCTGTGCTTCTGCACTGTTGACTTCTCTCTCTGCAGCTAGACCTTGTAAAGGTGCATTGTCTCCTATCGATAAAGGATGGTTTCCATTATCAGCCAACTGATATGCAGATCTATTCAAATATTCCATGGTTTCCGTAGCTGCCACAAAGGCTGTGCTGTCTAGGGCTTCCTTGGAAAACAGGAGAGCATCACGCCCAGGATATTCTAGGATTCCTGGATTACAGCAATTGCAATGTCCCCCTTTTGTCCCTCATCCCCTTCAAACCATATGAGCCCCTGGAGCACTGACTCAGAAGAGACTTTGTCTTGTTCCCCCCAACATTCGCCTGGTCCCCATACAATGCATCTAAGCCCGTGCCTGAAGAAAGTGGCTTTGCTTTGTGATTGCAGGTACAGCATCTGGAGCAGCAGAACAGGGTGTTGGCCACCAAATGGGACCTCCTCCAAAAGCAGGTCCTGCCATCCCAGAAGAATATCAAGCATGTCTTCGACAACTTCATTTGCAGCCTGCAGAGGCAGCTGGACTCATTGCTGCGTGAGAGGGGGCGGATGGAATCTGAGCTGGATGACATGGGCAAGCTTGTTGAAGAGTTCAGATGCAAGTGAGTGAGCAGAAACCATCCACAGGGCAGTGAATTCAAACAGCTGGTTTACCGGGACCTTTATTTTTGTCTGTATCTATAGACTTCTCTCTGAGGTCCAAAAAGCTGAGATCCAAAACCACCCTGACCCCTAAATACCTAGAGAAACAAGGTCTCCAGTCTCAGAATGACCCAGCCACTGGTCTCTTCTCTTCCCTAACAGACACAAGCAAGAAGAGAACAGGCACATGGCTGCCAAGAATGAGTTTGTGTTACTGAAGAAGGTAAGGAATTTGGATGAATGGAAGGGTTGGATGCAGAGAAATTTCTTCACAGAAAGGTTGTCAGGCACTGGAAGGGGCTGCCCAGGGCGGTGGTCAAGTTCCCATCCCTGGAGGCATTTAAAAGAAGGGTAAATGAGGTGCTTAGGGACATTGTTTAGTGGCAGGATGGCAGGGTTAGGTTAACGGTTGGACTTGATGATCTTAAAGGTCTTTTCCAACCTAGACAATTCTATGATTCTATCCAAGGACTTTCCTCTGATCTGCTCCTTGCAAGGCAAGGATCAGGTCCTGAGACTGCTAAAAGCCATTGGAGAAGTATGGATGCAGAAAAACGTGCCACAGCGTATTGCTAGAGAGCATTGAACACTGCCCTTCAGCATGGAAAATATATTTCATTCTAAACCAACAGCTCGCTACCCCTGATGCCCAAATCACGATGGTTTTCAAGCAAAAAATCAGCGCTGTTGTATCTGCCTTTGGGATTCCCCAGCTGTTGCTATTCTGGGGATATCTGAGCATCCCAATTACATCTCCTAAACAAAATTTCTTCCTCTAAAAATATAATGAAATTGCCTTAGGTCTCTGTGTAGGCACTATTTTGACTTCTAAATGTCTGGGAACTCTTTTAGGATGTGGATCATGTCTATCTGACCAAGGCAGAGCTGGAAGCAAAGCTGGAAACCCTAAAGCAGGAGATAGAGTTCCTGAAATGTGTTTCTGCTCAGGTATGGATGCTTCTGTCCCAGCCTTGCTTGATGGCTGCTATTCCTACCAGCTGCTTCTCGTCTACATTAATTTAGGCCTGACTAAACCAATCCATCAAGCTCTCTTTGGGAGGCAATGGGAATCCCAGATAAGGAAGACTTTGAGATCTCAACCCCTCATCCCCCACCCAACCCCCGCAAGCTGCAAGCATGACCAAATGTAGTCTCAACTCCTGGGTTGTGACTCAGGACAAACTCTCAGTGGTGGTGTTACTTCCACTGGAGAGTGAGATAAAAAATCCAGGGAGAGCTTACTGCTACTTCCCATGGCTTCTAGGAAATCGCTGTGCTGGAGAGAAGTCCCTGTGACACCTCTGTTGTCGTGAAAATGGACAACAGCCGAGGCCTGGACATGCAGGGCATCCTCAGGAGCGTTGAGTGCTGGTATGAGGACGTGGCTCAGAAAAGCAAGGAGGAACTGGATGCACTGTACAGAACTAGGGTAAGCTGCAGCATCCAGCGGCATATCCTTAGTTCTCTCACTGTCAAAGTAGTGGAAAGGCCGTGATTTTTTTTTCTTTCTGTCTTCACTATGTAACTTCTGCACCTCATTTTCCATTCTGCTAAACTGGATGGGGGTGTCAAAGTCAGGAGAACATCCCCAAAACACAGGCAGTGCAGCAGGACAGGAACCAGTTGTGCTGGGAGTGGGGAGGCTGTAGGCGAGTTGAACAGTGGGGAGCTCCATTTGCTGCTGAAAGTCTCAGGAGCTGCAATGTCAGGAGGACTTTTCTAAAGTGAGTTTAATTCGCTTTGGGAACAGAAGCAAGACTCCTGCACTGCCTGTATTAATCGCCACCTCCCTCTTTTCCTACAATCAGTATCAAGAGCTTGAGGAGATGAAGGGGAGACATTGCAATGAACTGAAGTCCCACCAGAGAGAGATTGAAGAGCTGAGTTTTATGATCCAGAGGAGGCATCGTGACCTTGAAAATACGAAGAAGCAGGTATGATGGATCATATTAACTCACCGTATCTCCTAGGTGTGAGATCCCAAGCCATGATTTCTACATCTCTGTGGCGTTTCTCTCACCTTTATCAAAGAGCATTGCCTCACCGGGATTCCACTGGCCTACAGAAGATCTTACCAGTGCCAAGCAGGAAAGAAGAATTATCTGCTGGCCTATTTTCTGCTGGATTATTCTTTTTATTGCAAAGAAATAACTGTGCCAAATTAGATCATTGGATTAGCTATAGCCACTTGGAAAATTGCTAAAATTGCTCCAGCAAGAGTCCTGGTAGGAGACAGTGCTTCTGACACAGGCTCAAAGCATCCAGTAAGTTGGGTAGAATTGTGACTCAACAGTAATTCAGCACCCATAGAAACTGGTGTAATTTTCAGACCAGCTAATTCATTATATAGTTTATAACAGGAAGTAATGGAAAATCTTAATTATTAGCTCCAATTAGAACAAAGTATTGGAATCCTTGTAACAAGGCTTGAACAGCCTGGCAGTACAGAGACAGGTCCAGCCTTTCTGTGGTATTTCAGAATTGGTATTTGATTTTGGGAACATTTGGCTTTCCTAAAAACAACCTCAATATGTCCCAATTTGGGACTCTCAAAAGAAATGAGAATTTCTCTCTTGAAGGTGTGTATGGCAGGAAAGAGGACAGGGAAGGTAAAGACCTCTTGTGTCTCCCCTGACAGGTCTCCTCTCTGCAAACGTCAGTTGGTGATACTGAGCAATGTGGGGATTGCGCCCTGAAAGATGCCCAGGAGAAGCACGTTGAGCTGCAGAATGCCCTCCAGAAGGCCAAGGATGGGCTGGCTTGCATGCTGCGGGATTACCAGGAGCTTCTGAATGTCAAGCTAGCCCTGGATATTGAGATTGCAATGTATAAGACTCTACTGGAAGGTGAAGAGAGCAGGTGGGTACCACTGCAACCAATGTGTGGACAGTGCTCAGTCCTTGGGGCTCTTCAACAGAGTCAAGGAAGCTGGAAAACACTAGAAATGCTAGTTATGTGATGGTTAACCTTGTGACCTTCTTCTCCTCCAGGATACGCCTTGGGAGCCCTGTGAGAGTATGTAAGTAAGCTCAAGGTCGCCTATTTTCCTTACAACATTAAACAATCTGGTTCTGGTTTGCAGGGGGAGGAGGAAGGCTGTGTCCTCCCCATGAGTGATTTGACTTGTGTTTTCCCATGGCAGTGATCACCACCCCTTGCAACACCATCTCGGGATGTGGATCTGGTAGACAGTCCCAACGATGCAGGTCCTCCTGTAGCACTGGTAGAGCATCCCTACCTGAAGATGCTGGTGCCAGCCACAGAGGATTCACCTCCAGCAATGTTGCCTGCTCTGTAGGCAGGCAGTATATCCCTGCTGCTCCCAACTGCATCCCCAGGAGTGAAGAATTTGGGGCCAGAGGTGGGGGCCATTTGTGCCAGAGCTTAGCCCCTCTGGGCACTGTTGGACTCTGCAGTAGGACTGCAGGGGGGTGTGGAGGGAGCTTCAGAGCTGCAAAGAGCGTGGGAAACTCAGCTCACCCACAAGGGATGTGTTGGCCAGGGGTGGGGATTTCAGCTGGACCTCCGTGCCCCACGAACACCCAGCTTCAGCTGTGAGAGTCAGGACGTAAGCCCTAATGTAGAAAACTGAAAGCCCTGTTCCACTTTCAGGGGTACAAACATCCTCAACTCCACCTTAGACACAAGGAAGAGGCACATGGTAGCATCATGAAACCACATCAGAGAAACTCCAACTGGGATCACAACAATAAAGGGACACTTAAAACGTACTCCTCCTGATTTCTTCTGGCTCTTTAAAGGGCTGGTGGCTGTGTTGGGGCACTTATCACTCAATTCCTGCTTCCCACCAGCCTCCTTTTTTTTTTTTTTTCCCTGATTAAGCCTTTGCTAACTATGGAACAAGTTATGGTATTTAACTCAGAACCCTTTCCCTAGAGTGCTCAGGGAAGAGTTTCTGGAAATGAGTTCTCTAGGACTCACCATTTCATCAAAGTCTTTCTGATGCCATTTTAGGCAAGTCAGCGGAGGGGTAGTGGTGAGACACATGGGCTCACGGAGAGGAGGGGCAAGACTCCAAGTGATGGTTTTTGCTCACGGTCTTGGAGCAGTTTGGTCATCCATGTGTTCCATAACGGAAATCTCAATTAAAAAACCTTCTGTAATCAGCACAGAGTAATTACGTTGCTTACATTAGCTTCCTTCCTTAGTGTCCTGATGTGTGCATAAATTACAGCACCCTCATGTCCCTCTCGATGACTCAAGACCTTTAAACTTTTTGCTCTTTTTACAATAAAGTGTGTGGAGAACAAATGAGTCACTGCTTGTTTTTTAGTATTTCCCAAGAAATGCCCTATCCCTAAATGGGACAAGACACAGCTGCTGATTAGGAGTCTTAGTTAAGCGGGGGTGACAGGGCTGCCCCGAGAGTGTTGTGTAGATCCAGCCCTTGGTTGCTGTAAATTATGGAAGCCTTTTATTAAAAAAAGTCATCATATTGATGCTGATTTGCACCTAATTTGGCTCCTACCCAATGCTATTAGGTGGCTGTTTTAGGATTCACAGAGAAGCCATCTCAGTCTCTTTGCATTTTCATAGCATGTCTACCACAGAGGTGTGACCATAAAATGCATTTTACACCTCTTCAAAATCTGCTTCAATAGCGGCGTCGTAGGAAAAAGCTCGGGAACGCGCTTGGTTGTTTTTTTTCGTCATCATCTTAGAAATCCTACAACTACCAGTCTAGGGTTTCAAAGCAGATCAAAGGGAGATATTTTATTGTACATTTGAGCAGATGAAACAAAGAAGCCAATAAATTAGGAACATACATCAACCACAAAGGACTGAAGTGTTTTGCGATTAAACTGATGAAAGCCAATGAGCAGAACAAAGGAATGAACTGCAGAGAAGCAAGTTGGGCAGAAATGCATTTTACAGATGGGGGAATGCAGGGAGAAGGCCCTTCCCATCCCAAGCGATTATCGTGATTCAGCTTTCCCTCCCCCCGCTCCGTAATCCTGTGATAGGAAGTCATTTCCCAATCAAATATGAGAGGCACAAAAGAAAACCATCGCAACCTTTATCGAAGAAAACCGCCAGAAAGATTTCACAGGAACAGAACAATTGAGCAGCCATAAATATTCATTAGGAGGGGTTTAAGCATCTCGTAAAGGTTGTGGTGTTCCCATTGCAAACAGATGACCCTGTCACTTCCCATGCAAGAGACGAGTAAGTCAGGGAAATGACGCAGAATTAGCATTGCTTTCACACCTCCAAACTCCCCTCTGCCACCATTTCCAGATCCGATAAGTTAATTTAGCAAATGCTTTACTTTAAACCTGTGACCAGCCTCTTGGGACACCACCCGGGTGTTTCACCAGGCGTGCGGCAGTGCTTCACAAATCAAATCAAATGTGGGCTTGGGCACCAGGCCTTCAGCATAACAAGAGGAAAGGCTTATCTCCCATCGGCTTCCCAGGAGGACCTGACCCAACTTCCACTGGGAATTCCGTCTCTATGGCTCAGAGAATCTCTTCTGCCCAAGGAAACAGCTTTGACTGGAAGGGAGAAGAGCTCCTGCAGATTTACAGGGAAGTTGCTGTAACCTAAGAACAGCAACTTTCCTGATCTTTTTTGCTTTAACAGGCCGTGTGATGCCACCCCATTCAGGGGCCCGGATTCCCATACATCCCACATTCATTTCCACTGTGCAGTTCTGTGGGAGGAAGACATCAACATGAAAAAGACCAAAATAATCCTTTGCTTTGTCGCAAGCCTCAGCTTTACAGGCGCTAATCACCGCAGAGATATGATATACGCACGCATCAGGAACTGAGCAGATCTAGAGAGCATGTGATGTTGGGTACTCTCATTAAGACTTCAAAGGTGCTAAAGAAATTCGACGCCCAAAGGGTGGGACTAATTTCACCTAACTTTAACCATCCAGAAGTGGGGCGCCTGGTCTAGTTGTCTGCTTGTCTAGACTGCCTCTGGTAGTCAATAAGAAGAGAGGTAAGTACCTCCAGAGGTGGATTCCTCCCACCCGTCAGGTGCCTATTTTAGGATGGGATGAATCACCGTCTGGAGATGCCTATCTCTTTCCATTAGCCATAGACGGAGTCTCAGAGATGAAATTAGAATACAGGGCTAGTTTGATGGCTGAAGTAGGGAGGAAGGTGCACCCAGGCCCAGTGTTTGATGAATTTTATGAGGAACATCCTTTGAAAATCCCAGCCTCAACTTCTAACATAAAGCAGATGTAGGCTAATGAGAGGAAAAAATACATTACCAGATTGAATTCCCTTGGACAACTTTGACTTTAGGGTACAAGGGAATGAGGCCACACTAATCAGATCAATTCTTTAAGATCTCGTGAATGACATGGCCAGGAGTCTGTACAGCCCATGAAACTGTGTGTATAGAAACACGTGTTACGACCCAACCTGACATCCATCAAGCGCTGTTAGCCCAGGCGAGTTATTGCCATTGTCCAATCTGAATGCAATGAGTTTTCTATGGCTGTGGATAATTACAGAGATGGAGCATGGCTCTTTGAGACTATCGCATAAAACACATTTTAAGAGCTCGTTCAGATTCATCTCCAGAGGCAACAAACAAATTAGTGAACTTCACATGTTCTTATAACGAATTCCATTTTCAGCAGCACATTCAGGGAGAAGAATGCTGACAAAGGGAGAGATTGCAAGTTGTCAAAATGACTCATTCAACCCCTCACCAAAATATTTTCCTTTTTTGCTTCCTCAGTCCTTTTCCTCCTTTTTTTTTTTTTTGAGTAAAAAAGATGCGATTTTTGCTCCAGAGCACTCCCCCATTTCCCATGTCCATACTCACAATAACAAATTGCTGATTCCTGAGATCTTGGGTACTAACAGGCAAAGCACTCGTCGTTCCTTGGGAAGACCTAAAAGCCATTGCATGAACCTTCTGCATAGCTGCCTTCTCACTGGGGCTCAGGAGCAGCAATGGGGATTTGGCCAACACAGAAATTTTACCCAATACTGGGCAACTTATGCCCCATATCTCTTACCTATCAGGAAGCCAGCAGCTCTGGTGAGGCGTTTTGGAACTGGGGCTGCTGCAGCAGTGGGTTCACAGATGTTTAATTGCAGCCTGTGACAGGTTCCAGGTGTCTCCCACACAGCTGGTGTCTATACTGGGGTGCAGAAAGGAAGCAGGGGCACACCAGCCTGCAGCCTGACTTCTGGTCCAGGACGCAGTTGTCCTATATGGATCTCGTAACAACTGCCTTTTGTACACTTCCTTGGATTCAGATATGCATTTTGCCTCTGATAAATCTTTGCGTAGAACTTAAAGGACCTGGGAAGTTACAAGCTTTAGCCTGAAGTCTCTAATATTTGTTTTCACTGATATTGCCAGTTGTGCTGGCAACCCAGTATAAACCATGAGCCTAAAATACTGTAAACAAAGGCGTGATCTGAAAGTCATACCGTAAATATGTTGAATTACCCCATTTGGATAGGGCAAAAGTACCAGTTTACACAACTAATTTATGCCACCAGCCCCTCAAACTCGCATACGTTGCAATTACACGTTCAATTAATAGCCTTGTGAATCTCGGTGCTGCAGTCACGTCCTACGGTTTCGGTGTGCATGCCTTCTGTCTAAGAACCTGATATTAGAAGGTTTAATGTTTCAAGGAGGTTTAGCATCGGTTTTATGATTTGCACTGCCTGATCCTAACTCTTGGGAAGAGTTTTTGGAGGGGGGGTTAATGAGGGTGAGGGAACACAGCTACCGGCTGTCTCCAGACACCGTCGGGTTGGATGTATAACATGCAGACTTCTCCAAGTGTTGCTCCCCTTCAGTTAGGAAGGGCTGAAGGCATTTAGTTGTTTGCACTATAATGTCTCTTTTTCTCCCAAACACTTTACTCTCAAAGAGCTAGAAGAGCCCTAATTTTCTGACTTTCCAAATGCCAGTTTGTAGAAGGCCCCGAGACGGTTGGCAGATAGGTTTGCTGTCTCACCCCCTTGGGCTGGTGAGGAGGAGAGAGAGAGATTCATCCTGCCAATGTGAGTCAAAGCCATCTCTGGTGTCCAGCCTAATCTACTCATTAAGACTTCCTCTGCTGATGGAGAAAGACCAGCACCTGCGGAGAGTGAATCACCCCAATTCCCCCAAGCACGGACCCAGGGGCTGTTGTCTCTCTCTTGGAGGTGTATCTCCATTGAGTGTCAAAGACGTGCCTGGCAAAGTCACCCAAATTTTAGCTGTTGCTTCTTGAATGAGGTGGATCTCACCAGGCTGAAACATGCTACTGTTCCTTTTTTGTTCCCTGTAGAGACTACCAGAAGATGAGTCAAGAAGGTCTCTGACCTCCAGCTTGATAGAACCTCCAATATACCGAGGGCCAAAGGTTCAGCTGCATCAAATGGACTTCAGGTGAAGAGTTTGCAGCATTCCTCAAGTGAAAATGTCACTGAACATAAACCTAGTAAGAAAACTGAAATATGCCTCGGTTCCTGCATGCAACGTGCTCTGTTGTGGTGGTGTTTCATGTGGTAACAGAAGGTCAGTGTGAAATGCTTGATGGGAATGCTTTTGGGGGGCATTTTGAGCCCTTGCATATGAATCCAGACCCATAACTCAGTAAATTTGCTGGTGTTTCAGGCACAGAAATGATCCACCATTCATCACATGACTTCCATCGTTTTTCTTCATGGTTGACTTTCTTTTTTTTTCTTTTTGGTTACTTTTCCACATCCAAAACAAGCCTGGTGAGAGAAAAAAGGTGAGATTGTGAAATTACCCCCACAAAATGCAAGTCTGCAAAACACGCCATCATACACGAAACCCCATGAGACACAAAACCCCAAACGACACACTGCAAACAAATCACAAAGAGTTCCTTCAAAAATGTTTGCTAAACTATAATTAGCGTAAGTTAGGGGAACACTTCAAACCATAATATATTCTAAGCCAACTTGCAAACAGAGCACTTTTAGATTCCTTTTTATTTCCTCAGTAGTTAGTATTTGCTGGGCTGCTTTGCATT